AAGGCTTCGATATTTTTAAATAATAAATTAATAAATAACACTTTCATCGATGCACTCAAGTTGTGATCAAACTTATATTTAAGGTAAAATGCATATTATGAAACTTTAATTAATACTTAACACACTGTAGTACTGTACAATCATAAACACATGTTCTATAAATTTCAATAATTTAGGTAAGTGATAAATGATAATCAAAATGATTTAGAATTTCACGAAATCAATAAATGGCTGTATACTATTTGAACTGTTAGTTTAAGCGAAACAAGTGCAAAATAAATATTAATTTAAAAAAAAATCGTTTAGTAAGAACAAATAATTTTATTATAACGTTGTAAAAAATATAATCGGTTCACAAATARACGTATAGATTTGAATGCAAAGCAAACTTTAGGAACGTTGTTCAACATGCGTTTATTATTTGTGACAGGTTTGGACAGCACTTACTTCAAATTAAAACTTTAAAAATGTATTGTAACATTAGGTAATTAAAGTTACTGTTTGGATTTAATAGCAACTGGTTTTATTTATAAAGAAGTAGGTGCATTTAATTAAGTAGAAAGTCTAAATCATTATTTTTTTTTTTATTATTATTATTATTTACAAGATATTTACAATCAGCACAAAATAAAAAATTTAAAAAATGAATAAAAGAACAGTAAACGAATTTGATAATAGTAAAATATAACATGACAAGTATGACGGAAGAAGCCACCCAATGATGGCACTATCTATTTCGAGTACCTATTTATATAATAGGTTAGTTCATGCATCCAGTAGATAACGACATCAGTTTCTTTTAAGACGTCTAACAGGATTACCGGGAAAAGTAGGGTCTGCTAGATTTTTTATAAGTGGGTTAGGGTGATTGGTTAACTTAAATCATTAAATTTAAATTTGAATTTTCGATGGTCGTAAAAACAAAGCTCAAACTCGTTGACTGCTGGAACGGCGTTAATCAAACGCTTTATTATGAACGCCTACTATACTAACGACAAGATGAGTCAGTGCAAACGGCTGACTTCCGGTGAGACGTCCGTGTGAGATCTTACGGTTATTTCTGGTTTTTCTTTAATATATACATACGCATTATTTTTCTCTGTCTTTCTCTCTAAGCAATTTGAACGGGAAAAAAATAATACAACTAAGATAATACAAGAAAACCATCCACTTCCGGCAAATTCAATTTTCTAAATGGACCATTTCTTCCTCTTGGAACCACCTCTTTATATTCTTGTGTTCTATAATGAATACTAAAAAGCTGTTGATTTTTGTTTTTTTTTTTAACCTTTAATATAACTGAATAAATAATACATCAAAGATGAGTTTACTAAAATTCATAAATGTGTAATACATATATTGAATCCATATGGTTTCTAACATTACTTGCGTAATAAATTGATACTTCAATAACAATTGAAAATGTTATTATTATTAAGTCCATCAAATTCACCTTAAATRATTAACCATATATTAGCTACCTACTAAAAGAAATGTAATTTGTAATTATTAGGCATAATGCTAGGAAATTCCCTAAGTAGTTTACTATTTATGAATAACTCACTCTTCAATAATAATCGCAAACAATAAAAACCATTCGGATAACTGCTTAAAAAATAAATGATACTGTTCTTTTGTATTTTTTTTTTAATTTACATACTATACAATATAACACTATTATCAGTATTCAAAATAAAATTTATTATGAGAAAATCTCAAACTCATAATATTACGAACGCCTTTAGAAGCTTCAGCGCGCGTCACATTTCCACGTTCGTAATATATTATTATATAGAATATTATATCAATGAAATCATCCGGTCACAATAGTAATATTACATACTAGTGCATTTTATATCTACAATTTGAAATATTCTCTTACCCGCAGACGCTGTGGGTATCTATTTTTTTATTATTACCATTTCACTATGCATATTGTGTTTAATGTTGAGTTTTTTTCCTATCCCACGCAGCACCAGCAACGATTCTAGTTACACCACAATCGTGTCCACTCTGAAAATCAATCATGTACAGAAAACGCATTCGGGAAACTACACGTGCTTGGTTGGATCACCGTCAGCGTCAGCGGCCGTCACAATCCACATACTTAACGGTGAGCAACTTTATACTTAAATATTATTGTTTTCTGCACCGTCGCGCGTCGTCTGTTCATTTGTCATAACTATATTATTACTATTTTTTGTTTTATGCACTATGTAAAATTATTGAATTGAAAAATCTACCTTTACTCATATGACAGACATACCAGGATGAATGAAATATCTGAATTTCGAATTTTATATATTTTATCAGATGATCATCATGGCGTACTCGGAGATTCCCAATTTTTTTTATTATAGGGGTGAGTGGTAAACTGGTTAACTGAACTTTGGTGGTAATATTAAAGACACAAATAAAGAGATTTATGGAACAGTGGAGGAAGAGGGRATATAACCCCTAACCCACCCGTCCTGTAACGCCGCTGCATACAATCGTGATACTCTCTATGTATGTAGGTACCTAGTGTTAGTGTATATTAGTGCATACCTATAGAATTATAATACGTATCAACTCTGTTTTTTAACACA